AAAAAAGTTTTAAGTCTAATTTTAAAAATATCTAAACTGGAAATAGATCTTATTGTGGTAGGAAGCAGATTCCAAAGTCTAGGGGCGCCACAACTAAACGATCTATCTGCCAGGGTCTTCTTGGATATTATTTTCGGGAAAGTTAATAAAGCTGCGGAGTCATCGTTGCGCCTTAAATTATACCTAGACGGCGGCAAGACAGACATTAAGTGGCGCAAGTAATCGGGCGCCATACCATGCAATACCTTAAATGTAAGAAGAATTATTTTATATTCGATACGATAACAAACAGGCAGCCAATGTAATTCGCAAAGTAGAGGCGTGATGTGGCACGACTTCGACTTCCATGTGCCAACCTTAATTTACATTGTTCTGGAGTGATGCAAACAAAATATCAAGTTCACTATAGTCTATAATGTTCTTAAGATGGGATGTGTTATCTTCATTGCACATCAAATAGTTAATTTTTCAGTAAAATTGAAGAACAGCTCCCCAAAAACTCTCACTCACTTGTCGGTTTTCTGTTGGTAATCTGTCAGTTAACTATTTCAAAATTATCATCAATTAATTTCGTGGTTTAATAAGACAAGATTACTCTATCGGATGCTTAGAGATTTTTCCTTGCTTTCCCAACAGTTGATATGGCCAATAAATGAGGTTTGCAATGCATTATGTGCAAATTTTCAATTTCTTTAATTGTCTTTCTACGCGAACACGATTCATCTATTTTCACGGAAGATCTGAAGCTAAAATGGAGTTACTGAGAATAATATCCTTATCTGTGAGAGATAATACCTCAATTATATCAGCATGGGGTAAAATTAAAGAGCGATGATATAATTTTGAAATGGTAAACCAACAGATTACCAACAGAAAACTGACAAGTGACCAACAGTGCAAGTTTTCAATTTCTTTAATCGCATTTCTACAAGAACACAATTCATCTATTTTTATGGAAGATCCAAAGCTGAAAATGGAGTTACTGAGAATAATATCCTAACCTGTGTGAGAGATAATACCTCGATTATATCAGCATGGGGTAAAATTGAAGAGCGATGATATAATTTTGAAATGGTAAACCAACAGATTACCAACAGAAAACCGACACGTGACCAACAGTGCAAATTTTCAATTTCTTTAATCGCATTTCTACACGAACACAATTCATTTATTTTTACGGAAGATCCAAAGCTGAAAATGGAGTTACTGAGAATAATATCCTTACCTGTGTGAGAGATAATACCTCAATTATATCAGCATGGGGTAAAATTGAAGAATAGCAGTCATTATGATAATTTCGAAATTGTAAACCCACAGATTACCAACAGAAAACTGACAAGTGACCGACAGTTTTTGGGGAGCTGTTCTTCAATTTTACCAATTTTTCCAGTTAACCATCTTTTATGCTGTTTTTAAATATTTACTTCATATCCTGGTTGAGATGTGATTGCTTCCACAGCAGCCAATGAAGCAATGTGCTGTAGATAGGGTAGTCTTCTGCCAAGGTTGGATGCAAATGGAATTCTAACATGAAGGGAAAACATTAAGCAACCAGATGGAGACAGCCACACGTTTCCACCTCGGCCTGTGATTTGATGCAAGAAGATGAATTTTCATTTTTATTTGTTTAACTTAATACAAATACAGTCTGAGAAAAAGATATAAATTAATAACATACCAGCCTTTAAAAATTCATGAAGAGACCATATTCAGCCCATTCATTTCTGATCAATACATTGTGTAACTATTATTATATAATAACAATTTACAATAAAGCAAATTTAAAAGTCCACATCAAATGAAATATAACCTAAGAATGTTTTATGCCGAGATCTTGCCAAGATTATCACAACCTCACTTAACTTTGAATTCATTTCTTACCCTGGCCTTTCACTTGTTGTCCTGCAATAACAACTATCCCCAGATCCTCAGGGATATTTGAAGTAAAGGTATAATTCCTAGATTAAGAAATATAGAAAAAAAAAAAAAAACAGAAGAGAGAGTAGGGTATGTCTTTGAGCAACAAAACCTGGAAAAAATTGTTTCAGGATACTTCAGATGTCCAGAGGCAAAAGCCTGCTATTTTCAGGTGTGCTAGGAAGACATAACTGTTATTCATACTTAATGCCATTTGAATGGTACTTAATAAATAATTTAACTATTGAGCCTGTTAAAGGTCAACCATTATTTTCAAGAAGCACTTTTATTAAGAAGGACCTTATTCATGAAAAGTACTCCTATTTTTGTTGTTGTGAGTTCAAAATAAAATGCATTATTCTTGGTACTTATGACAAATACTAACCCATCAAAGACTGTTTGTGTGGATGTGATTATATCAGTGTACAAGACCACTTTTCCCAAAACTTTAGTACTTAAGCATTTCTGGTAGGTGCTCCAATTAAAAGTAACAGCCTTGGAGTTTTCCCCTTGACAAATAACAGGTAATTTCTCCTCTGTAGCATTTGGAATATACATTTCATCACTTGCCCCAAAGTGCAGTGACAGCTGGTTTCCTTTACAGATACCTTCCTCCAGTGATGATCTTAAAGACTGCATAAGTCTTTTTTTATCCTTTACGTTACAAGAGACAAATAGAAAATCTTGATTTTTACATAACAAACAGAGAGAGATCTTCATTAAAATGTTATTATTTGTGAAAGTTACAATTCAAAACAATGTGGAAAAGATATTTCTATAACAGACTGAATACGAGTTGGGGAACTGTAGTTTAATTTATAAAATCAGATTGGTCACATGCTTAATTTTTTCTCTTATTGTGAGGTTGAGTTTATTAATTGTTTTATTCTATGACTTTCAATAGTCCTTTTTACAGTTGTGGGCTTGGTGGCCAAGCCTTTGAACAGGAGTGAGGCTAAGGATGACCCTGTTGTGATAGAGACCTGTATCTAGTTAGCATGATAACAAAGAAATTTGCATTTGAAAAGCAGCAACATCTCTATCATAACAAGGTCACCCATAGCCTCACTCCTGTTCAAAAGCATGGCCACCAAGTCCACAACTGTAAAAAGGACTATTAAACTTACAGAGCACTTAAAACTTAGTTTTTTCATGGTATGTGGTCAGTGAAAAAGCAAAGGAGAAGTGTGAAAACATTTTCTACTTAAGGGGCCAACAAATTTTTATATTTGATTTTTGTACTTTTCTTTGAAAGTTTTAGGAAAAGAAACTCACCTGCTCATTTGCAAGAAGGTATAGTGGGGTCAGTTCTGGCACTTCCAGAGGCTGACAGCTAATTCCTAATAGTTTTAGAATATGCACTAGCATCTTCCTTCCGGCATCTTGCTCTTGACCATGTAATTTTCCATAATCAGTGAATGACTCAAAATGAACAAGGCTAAACAGAGCATTACCAGAACCTTCAGAGATCTGAATGACAACTGGTTTTCTTGAAGTTTCCTCTTCTGCAACAATCTTTGCTTTCTCTCCTGAATTTATTTCATCAAAAATAAAATCAATTCAATTGCTTCTTGAAGAGTTTAAATTACTAAAATCACCCACCTTCAAAATAATATGGCTGACAAAGTGCAGAGAAATCCTGTATTGCATCAGGGAGCACCTCTTGATTTACTCGAAAGGATCCAATGAAAGGCTTCAGGTGTTTATCCAGGGGCTTTTTGACAACTTGACACATAAATGGACTGCACAAGCTTAGAATCTGTCCTCCACTTTCAAGATACTTCACAAACACTTGTCGAACTTTTGATGACATTGAGTCACTATTTCCAAGAACCAAAAGGGCAGTGTTTTCGACCCATGGATGGGTGGTGATCTGTTGTTCATAAATCCTGTACATTACGTAGCTATGCAGATTTATCACTTGTGACAGTGCCTTCTTAACTTCAGTGAACCTCCTGCCTTCTGTGTCCGAATTTCCAGTATATATAAGGATGTTCGGAGGCTTTGAAGATTTAGTAGTCATAGCTTTGCTAACATGACTAGTTAATCTTGTAGCTGGAGAATGATGAAACATTCACAGAATTTAAATAGGTTAAATACCTACATGTTTCAATTGAAGTGTTTTTTTTTTTTTTTTTTAGAAAAAACTAGCAACTGAACATAAAAAATTACTACACAATACCCTTGGATTCGTTTCAACTGGCTATTAAGAGAGATAGGTGCGAAGATTACATGTTTACCTGGTGACGATCTAAAGATCGAAATTTCATTTGCACCCGCAACCTTCGTACACGACGAAGTCAAATTCAGAATCCTTAATTTTGTTAGGGCAAACCCAACAAGCCAACCAGCACCCAGCATTTGAGGGACGTTCAAAAGAGCGCGTTTATCACATGAAAAACCAATCAGATGACTGTTCTCAAACGTTGGACCGCCAAGGGGAATCACCGTTAAGAAATCGCGGGCGCTGTGTGTTGTGTGCAATTCTATGTAACCTTCATCATCTGTCACGGGGAGTATCGGTAAGAAAGGAAAGAAGGGAAAACGGAGATGTCACCTACAACGTGGAGTGTGTCGACAAGTATGCAGTTTTCGAGTATGCAGCTTCTTTAATGGTTTTAGGTAGGTATTGAAAGTAAGAGAAGTCAACCTTGCCTCTGACGAAAGAGAGTTCTGTAAAGTTTTATTGAAACGTTTTTATTGGGTTTTCCTCGATTGGAAAATCTCGTTAAAGCCATTGGCTTGGAACCTGAACCTGTTGTATTACGTTCGGTATTCTATTCGTTTCAGTGCATTTCCCAATCTCGAAGAAGCTGTCATTAAACGTAACAAATATTTCATAGCTATCTTCTCCTCCTCTTCTTTATCTTTACTCGGATTCTCTGAAGCCGCTGATTCCAGGCAGGAGTTACAGTTAGGACATAGTTGTTCACCATAGTCGTTTCTGGTTTGGTTAAAAGAAAAGAAGTAAATGAGGTCAGTTTTGAAGTCTAGCGTAACCATTGATAGTCATAAAACAATGGAAATTGCAGTAGAAAGCTATAATTAAAGACGCTTAATCTCAAGTCGGATTAGGACATTTAGACTCCAGTTTCGTACGGGAGCGAAGCTTCCCCCCGGGTCAAGGTTCTAATATCTCATGCTCTTGGACAAATTTTCACAAAACGGGAGTATAGTATTGCATTTATTCTAGTGGAATAGAAAGCTTAGAGCTTAGTGGAAGCCGCCACTATGGGGTTCCAAGAGATTGTCATTACTCATAATTCTTATTTTAACACGCATCAGCCAGAACTCATCACCAGCATTTCCTGCTTTATTCACTCTATATGGACAGCAATTCAGTTATTCAGCTCAGTAGGGACAACAAAGAAACGGCAATAGGCAGAAAGTAAATGAGCTAAGGTGCATTATTCAGAAAGCCACTTACTACCTAACTATTGCAGCATCACAATCAGAGTCACCCTCCACCAGAAACTGACACCCATCTGTCGGGAAAGAAAAGGGTCAGTCAGTTTGCAATGTGTATACCTTCTATTGAGGTTAACAGATAATTTTAAACACGATGATAACACATTGTGACGTGCGTTCACCTACCTGAGCTTGTGTCGTCACCACGGTTATTTTGGGGGACAACATGGGATGCCGAAGCCTGAACACAAAAAGTTATAAATCAAATGAAAAGCTCTGTTAATTGTTATGTCTATTTTAATTTTTTTTCTTTTTCATCATTTTCATTTAAAGCTATATTGTTCAGATGAGTTAGGCCCTTCTCGTGACGGAAAATATGCTTTTCACTACAGGTTTTGGGGGGTTCTCTATATCAGGGTTCTCTTGTCTGAAACTCACCACTTTCAATGGGTGGTGTAACTTAGACCACTTTAGAAGAAAACAGTCATTAGAGCCTTTTCGAAAAAGAGAGAAATGACGATATGAGTCAGTAACTCACTGCTTCCACAGATAAATTCTTCTGCTCTCTGAGTGTTTCCGTCGTCATATTTTAAGCGTGGATTAAGTCTGCAGTCTTAAAATTTACCTCCGAAGAAGAAAGTTCATCGTGGAGCCCAAAAGCCTGCGCAAAATCTTGTTGTTGATCGGACAGGATTCTATGCACATTATGTTTAAGTTTTTCAAGTTCTCCGTTTACTCTATCACGCACAAGGTTATCTGTGGGAGCAAAAAGAACATTGATGAAGTGTAAATGCTTCTCAAGAACGGTGAAAAATGTTATAATTCTGTCCTTATGCAGAGGGAAGATCAGAAACCTACAGGATATGCAAAGCACAGTTTTGATTCAAGTAGGAGCCGGTAGGACTGAATCATCTATCACTCAAAAGGGAAGTTAAAAGGAGATGAACACGTCATACAAAATATCATCTTCTTGTTTGATTTTTTAGCTTGCATTTTATTTGTATCGTGTTTGTCTTTCCCTTCATCTCCTTTCATGTCATTTCCCTACGGCTCCTTCCTCACTGGACCGTTCCTCTACCCTGAAAATGAAATCCGCAAGTATTACACAAAAGTGTTTTAAGCGACGTTGTCACATATGTGGAAATTGATAACAATGACAAAAATAATGATAATAATAACGATAATAACAACAACGATGATAGTGATAGGAACGGTGGTGATAATATTGAACGACAAAAGAGCTTATGAGAAAATCAGTGAACCGGGCGAGAAAGGCAGTCATGATGCTTCAGAAATATGGAAAGTGTTGGCGTGGTGTCAGAGAACCGAATAGCCGAAATAATACATTTTTTGGTAATAATTGATATCAAAATTTATTACATCGCTCACAGCGCCGTGGGCAAGATGAAGCGAATCCTGTGTTCTGATTGGCTAACCGAGCGGGAAAGATGGGCTTATCTTGGCTTCTCGGGATTGCCGGCATTTATCCCGCGCATGAAAAAATAGAATTAGAACTACGTTCCTAATTCGTGGAAAATTTCGACGATGGAAATGCAAAAAGCAGCAAAGGATAGTCAAAACAAAGAAAACAGAAACGACTCTTGTGAGATTGTTGCGCTACAAACACAGTTGACTTTCTTTCCCGGCGTTCGAAGTGAACAAGTCATATCTTAATTCTCAAAAAAGCCAAGTCTTTTTGCAATACAACAAATCTTTGGTACAATGAATATATGAAGTTCATATATTATGAACTGCCGTATTAAATAAGTATGATGCACGATCCTTCGCAGTAGCGCTATCTACTGCGAAGGATCGTGCATGACGTAACAAATCTTTCATTAACCAAGCTTGTTCGGTCAAGATGGCTGGATGTTAGCCTCGTTCTTTTTTCGCATTTCTATGGACCTCGACTTCATCTCGGCACATAAAAATGCAAAAAAAAAAAAAGAACTCAGCCAATGCAATATCCAGCTATCTTGACCGAACAAGCTTGGTTAATAACGCACATGTATAACATCTTCTCACCTAGATGTCGAAACACCGCAGCGGCAGCAGCCGAATCATCAGTAGAGCTGGATACCGACATGGCTTCATCTGATATTGGGGGTTTCATGTGTGTTACAGCTTGATTATCTTCAACATCTTGAGCGATTTTCGTGTAGCTATTGAAAATCGAATAATAATATTGTGCTAATAATATTACAATTATAACACATTTAAGATACAATGAAATATATGAAGTTCATATATTTTGTACTGCGGTATTAGATACATATGATGCACGATCTTCGCAGTAGATAGCGCTATTTAAGTAATAGATAGCAGTAGATAGCGCTGATTTTCGCTACATGCCAAATTCCGTATCTGAAATGATAATCGATTTACATTCTTAAATGATTTTAATATTTTGATTTAGATATCCACCTACCAATGGTTGTACTTCTCTCTGAATGTGGTGCAGTTGTCATTCACCAGTGGAGAGGTTTCATACATATTCGTCAAGTAATTCGGATCAACAGCCATCGTTTGATAGTTTACGTTGTTCTTCAGGCTGTGGAATCACTTAGTTAGTGTCGCATCCTGATAATAAATCAGTATTTATAAAAAAAGAAGGCTTTCTGACTTGACATGAAGTGGATTTCAGGTATTTTATTAAAGAAATAACAAATTAAATAATTATGACTAACTCGAAGCGCATATAATCTGGAAATATTCTCAAACAGATTTCTCAAGCACGATCCAAAGAACTCTTATAACTTACCTTCCCTTGAAGAATGAGATAGTACTCAGTTTCAATCTGGATTTTGCAAAACTTTTACCTTTAATTTAATAATGTTAAGTGGCAGTGATGTGTTTTACCAAAACATGATTCCTCCAAGATAGTTTTCGATAGCTAAATCTAACAATCGAAGTAAACTTCAACACAGAAGATGTCTATTTAGTTTTTCTGTTGATTCACTTCGCGCCAAAAGTCACGCGCGCGCCAGTTTCCCGCCATTTTTGCTGGCACCCGCTGCTGGTAAATTTCTCAGATCTCTCAGAGTTATCGATGTATGTTTTCGTTAGAGTTAAAGCCTTTGGTGTTTTTGAAAGCTTTTAAATCTGT